GGATCCTGCTCCCCCCCACCCGACTCCTCACGGCCCATATTTAGGCTGGTCAGAGAGATTTCCATGCAGCTGCTCAAAGAAAAAGGACACACACACACACGTGCATACAGAGAAGAAAGGAAGAGAGTGTGCCCACCTTCTCTCTTTTATTAGCAGCATTTGGATCTAGAGCAATAAGCACGCTCATCCAAATCTTTGTTTTTCTGTCTCGCTTTGCCAAGAGGACAGCTATTCCCAGACTCCCAGGAACATCAAAGCAACAGAGCTATTCAGAGCCCGGTGGTTGTTGCAGTAATTGCCAACTGCTTCAAAACACCCCACTTAGTGTTGTCCTCTCCCCCCCGCCCGACAGCACAAAGGGCTCCCAAGAAAGCTCCGTCCAGACAACAACCAGCCCAAAGATCTGACTGGAACAAAATGAGAGGGCAGAAGCAGGGCCTGAGGGTGCTGTCCTGTCTTTTCTTAAAACAGCGAAAAGGAAGACAGTGGTAGAAATTGTGGGGGAAATGAGCCGATGACAAATTACGGAAGTTGAAACATGGGGAATGGAAGCTATTAAATTGCTGTAGTTTGAAACAATAACAACAACAATAAAAGCCTTTTCTGCAGCTTGGAAATCAGCCACTCTCATGCTTGCCTAGGGTGAGTTGAATCTTTTACAGGCGAGCGGGAAAAGAGGCATTTCACCGCAAGCAGGCAGGCTATTAAAAACAACAATAACAACAACAACAACGTGGGCTATTGTGGGGCTGAGGTCTCTCTCCTTATTGGCTCCCAAAGAGGGCAAAGTTATGGCTAGGACACCGATCTCCATGCTATTAGAATTCCCGGCAACTATTCACGAGGCTTCCCCTTTCAAATGAAAAGTGAGGACAGGTGGAAGAGCACAAGAATATGAGAAGCCATGCTGGATCAGGCTGATGGCCATTCCAGTCCCAACGCTCTGTGTCACACAGTGGCCAAAACCCAGGTGCCCTCAGGAGGTCCACCAGCGAAGGCAGACAGATAGTCCTGAATTGTGGTGCCAGCTTGACATCCTAACAGCTTCACAACTGAAATGAAAGAGGGGCACACCAATGCATCAAAATGCTCCTCATCAGCTATCATGCCGTCTGGCGTCTTCTGTGTTTCTTAAATGTATGAACTTTCACACAACACCTTCTGTGTTCATTTCAAATTCTAGAGTTGGAACGGGCCTTCTAATACAACCTCCATCACCATCTGCTCAATGGAGGAAGCCCAAAGCAAGAACATCCCTGACAGATGGCTGTTCAGTTTCTCCTTCCAGCAAGGGACAGCTCACCCCACAACCCAGGTGATGGGTTGCATTACAGAAAGTTTTTGCTAATGTTCAACCAAAATCCACGCTCTCGTAACTTAGGGCCAAACAATACACCACATCTACTATGTGATCACCACAGGGACTTAGCTATACAACAGCTGGGACTTCCTTGAGAGAACTTCAGCAGTGCTGTGAGGCCCAATTCAGATCGGGACCATGGTGCAGAGGGAGTAGGAGCTCTCGCCTCACCGCTGTAGTGTCCTCTTGACCCCCAACAGTCTAATGATGGGGCAGATAAACACCTCTTGGGGTTGTTCTGGATTGGGAAAACAGTCCAGGGATCAGGCCCGTAGCCAGGATGTTGTGCTTGTGGGGCCATTTTTTTTCTGGTGGGGCTGCCATTATTTGCCCCCAGTTCCTCCCCCCCCCTTCCTGGTCCTGCTTCGGTTTCTCTCCCCAGAAATCGGAAGTGTCTCTCTTTGCCTCTTGCTCCAGCAAGCCTTCCCAAGACGCTGCCCTCATTGATTCCTTTTGGGGGGACAGGACGGGACAAGACTGCTTTTCTTCTTCCTGCCACCACCTGTGCCGCTCAGGTGGAAGAAAAGTGCAGAAAGAGAGAGAAAGAGAAGGCGTGGAGATGCTTTTGCCTGAGCAGAGCCTTCCCTGGTTCTCTTCCCTACCTGCCAAACACTGGAGTCCAGCGGTGAAGTACCTCACAGGGCGCTTCACGCTGGCTGGAGTCCTCCGGCAAAGAGACCTGAAAAGACCTCGGGGCACACAAAGGGCCTCTTTGCAAGCCACGTCGTGCGCAAGAAGCCGCCACCGCAGGAGAAGGAGAGGAAGGGGGGAACAGAAGACACACCAGCAAGTTGCCCGCTGCATCCAGTGAAGGAAAACGCTCAGCTCAACAATGTCGGGGAGTAGGCGAGTGGGCGTCAATGTGGCAAATGAGGTTCAGTGTGGCCAAGTGCAAAGTGATGCACATTGGAGCCAAAAATCCAAACTATAAATACACATTGATGGGGTCCGAACTGGCAGTGACTGACCAAGAGAGAGATCTTGGAGTCGTAGTAGTTAACTCAATGAAAATGTTGAGACACTGCGCGACTGCAATAAAAAAAGGCCATGCTGGGGATTATTAGGAAGGGAATTGAAAACAAATCAGCCAGTATCATGATGCCCCTGTATAGCATTGGGAAAAGTGCAGAAAAGGGCAGCTAGAATAATAAAAGGGTTGGAACACTTTCCCTATGAAGAAAGGTTAAAGCGCTTGGAGCTCTTTAGCTTGGAGAAACGATGGCTGAGGAGTGACGTGATCGAGATTTACAAGATTGTGCCTGGGATAGAGCAGGTAGAGAAAGAAGTACTTTTCTCCCTTTCTCACCATACAAGAACTCGTGGGCACTCCATGAAATTGCTGAGTAGTCAGGTTAGAACAGATAAAAGGAAGTACCTCTTCACCCAAAGAATGATTTTTTAAAATTTATTTTTCACCCAAAGAGTGATTAATGCATGGAATTCACTGCCACAGGAGGTGAGGGCGGCTACAAGCATGGACACCTTAAAAGGGAATTGGATAAACATATGGAGCAGAGGTCCATCAGTGGCTATTAGCCACAAGGTATAGATAGCGACTCTCAGTCTGGGGCAAGTGATGCTCTGTATTCTTGGTGCTTGGGGGGGGGGGGGACAGTGGAAGGGCTTCTAGTGTCCTGTCCCACTGGTGGACCTCCTGATGGCACCTGGTATTTTTTGGCCACTGTGTGACAGGGTGTTGGACTGGATGGGCCATTGGCCTGATCCAACATTGGCTTCTCTTATGTTCTTATTCCTGGGTCTGTTTGTTTAACCAGACTAGTCCAAGCAGGAATTCCCACTGTTATCCCCAAAAAAACCTTGCAAGCAGAAAAAGGCTTCCTCTAATTTGGGAATTCCCAAGTTACTGCCACCATGGCAAAAACTGGTGAATTTTCCAATTATTTCCTTAAATTACTTGTATTCCCCACCTCTCCAGAATATGCCCGAAGCATCTTCACCCACAGCTCTTTAAAAAGCAGTCTGGAGTTAGGTGGCTATCCCCACTTCTTGTGGCAACCAGTTCCACTGGTCAATACTGTATCTGTTGCAAAGTTTGTCATTTGGGTGCAAAACGGGCACAAAGTTCCAGAGTTTATGAAGCTGCCCTTAATGCCACCTTTGGAACGGACATTTTAAACCAAGGCTGCAGAACCAACTAAGAAAAAGACAGGCCACAGGCAACCCCAGGGGCTCTACCTAGTTCTCAAGACCACCTTGTATGGCCCCCAGCGCTTCTCTGCCTTACAAGAAGATCCCCCACCCATTATGAATGTCAGCCATTTCTCCCATGCTAGACAAAGGTGCAAGGCAAAGGGCTCTCCCACCCCTCTCAAAAGTCCTCATTTCTATATGCAAACCAGCCGACTGGCAGCCAAAATATGTAAGAGGGGAACACTGCCAGCCAGTGGGCAGCCAAAATGTATAAGAGGGGGAACTCTGCCAAAGCCTCCATTGCTTGCAAGGAGATGGAGGGGAGAAAGCTGAGCAAAAGAGCCCTTTGCCCATGTACTGGAATGGAGTGAGGTGCCCCATGAGAGAGGGCCTCTTGTCCAAGCCTGCACTGCTGCCCAAGCTGGAGAGGAGCCCCTCACATCTCCTCCTCAGTTCAAGCAGATGTCAGAAGACACCAGAAGCCCTTCAGGCCGTGGTCCGATTTAAAAATTGTGTGGGCTCAGTCCCAATGCCGTCCCAACTGACACCGTTGGCCCTGGACAGAACTCGGTTGTCATTCTAACTGCCAAAGCCTAGCAAATTAAGACTGCACCACAGAGAAGCAGGGGAAGAAGGAGGAGGAGGAAATTGGATTTATACCCCACCCTTCACTCAGAGTCTCAGAGCGGCTTACAAACTCCTTTCCTTTCCCCTCCCCACAACAGACACCCTGTGAAGTGGGGCTGAGAGAGCTCTGACAGAAACTGCTCTTTTTCAAGAGCAGCCCTGACAGAACTATGGCTTGCCCAAGGTCATCCAGCAGCTGTGAGTGGAGGAGTGGGGAATCAAATCCGGTTCTCCCAGATTAGAGTCCGCACACTTAACCACTCCACCAAACTGTCTCTCATACACAGATAAAGACACACCAGTCCTTATCTGTAGAATATTACAGCCAAAGGTAGCTTCAGATTTATGTCCAGTTGCTTATTACTCTAGTTTGGGGTCCCCAACATTGTGCCCGTGGGCTCCATGGCACCCGCCAACACCTTTCCCGAAGCCTGCCGGGTGTTTTTAGAAAGAGGGCAGGCCCAGGTGGGTCTTTTGCCCAGCACGGCTTCTGACTGGCTGGAGATTTGACTGGCTGCCCAGATTTTTTAAAAGGTTGGCTTTGGCTGCTGCTGCCACCGTGGCACAAGGATCTCCGCTGTGCAACTGACGATGAGCTGCAGCAGCCATGCTGTGGCTGGATCCTTCTCCTGCAGCAGCCAATCTGTGGCTCTGTGGCCTACCATGTTGTGTCAGAATTCCACCCACAGGCACAAAAAAGGTCGGGAACCTCTACGCTAGGCTATGAGTTACGTCGACGTTCAGAACCTTACTCATTCTGGTTAAAAAACGTGCCACCGATCAGGGAGCTGAACTCTGGATTTTGGCTTACACCGCGTAATGCCTTCAGAACCATGACTTGGAAGTTTGGGGACTTTCATACCTTGACAGGTGGAGTAGAGCACCGCGAGGGCGTCATCATCCATGTCTCCGGGCTGCGATAGGAAGGGCTCTCCGCTAAGTTGAAGCAGAGCTCCTCATCGCTTTCCAGACCACTCTGATTGCTCCGCACCAGAGAGAGGCTGATCACGATGGCACTGGTGTTGTCTGCACGGAGCATGCGCTGCCGCCAGCGGCCCAGTGCTCTGTTCACCAGCATTTTGGCCAACGACTGCTGGTGCTCTCCCTGTGGGTTCAGGATAGGGGTGGAGGGGAAAGAAACACAGGAATATACGATGAAACTCTCTTAATACAAGTCATGGACACTGGAACATTCAGCGCAATACCCTCCACACTGAATGGCAGAGACTCTCCCTACAATGCAAGGGATATTAGGATGTCTGCTCACACAACAGCATTTTTTGGAGGAGGAGGAGGAAGTATTTAGTGCCCTCCATGCCTGACAGGAGAGAATGAAGATTCCCAGTCACTTCCCACAATTAGGAAAAAAACACCTTTAGATATTTATCTGCTAGTTCGACATATTTATTGCTCTATGACTGTTGACCCTATAACCTTAACTTGTTATTTAGTTTTCACTTTGCATATCTTGATCATCATCATGTTGCTTGTTAATTTGCTGTTCATTCTCTGACTAGAAGTCTGAACCTTGCCTGCCATTGACAAAGTGTGCATGCACATGAAAGTTCATACCTTGAATAAACCTGTGTTGGTCTTAAAGGTGCCACTGGACTCTACATTTGTTGTTCTCCCTACCTAAGGCAGACATCCTGCTACTCCAGACCTGGACACAGCAAAGACTGAACCAGGTACCCTATGAATAAGCTACAGCCCATCTCCACTGAGTTATGACCCCTCTCCATAAAGAGAGAGAGTCTCATATGAACCTCCTCCCTCAAGGTACCTTCTATCAAGTCACACACTGATTAACTTGCTTAGTATGGTCTCATCTGACTCAGCAGCTTCCAGGGATCACGATTCACAGGTCTTTTCAGCCTTTAAATGGAGATCCCTGGGACTGAAACTGAGACCTTCTGCATACAAATGAGTTTCCATGGCAGAGTGAGGAGTTGAACCTGGGTCTCCAGATCCTGGTCCGATGCTCTTACCAGTACCCCACAATGGCTCTCATGGGCCATCCCCAAAAAAACGGTAATAGAAAATCCACCATTTTCGTTTCTGAAGCATGGCCCACAAGCCGTGGTATGAGTAGTATACACCCTTAACAGGATCACACAAGACACTGCAAGGAGGGGTGGCCTTAAGACCAGTCCACCAGTCTCTCTTCCTTCAGGTCTCCCCGCTAACATCTCCTCAAAAAAAGTCATATGATGTGCAAGCACCACACTTCTAATGGCCAACCCCACTATGAGGTGGTGGCAAAACACAAACTCAACAACAAAGCCCAGGTTTATTTAGTTTTTTGCCGAATATTAACAGGGTGATGCAGGAAAGAGACATAATGTCTGTTGTTCCTGGCAGTCGCACCTCCATCGAAATGTCCAGTCAGACCCTCGGTGAAGCACTAGAAACTTACTAGTTTTAATTTTTAAAAAAAAATGGGGGGGGGGAGCGACAACTATTCTACTCCACTTTAACATCCACATAAGAGAAGCCATGCTGGATCAGGCCAATGGCCCATCCAGGCCAACAATCTGTGTCACACAGTGGCCATCAGGAGGTACACCAATGGGGCCAGAACTCCAGAGCCCCCACCCCCCACCCCAGGAATACAGAGCATCACTACCCCAGGCAGTCTTCTTTCTATATACCTTGTGGCTAATAGCAACTGATGGACCTCTGCTCCGTATGTTTATCCAATCCTCTCTTAAAGCTGTCTATGTCCTGTGGTAGTGAATTCTCCCTCTGTCCCCTTCTTCTCCCCTCTCCTTTCAGATCAAACAGACTATATATCCCCCCCGCCCTGAGTTTCTATGCCATCTTTTAATTATGTCACTGGTTTACAGTATTATGTATTCTATTCTATATTATTAGGTATTTTATTGTATTTATGCATTAGAAATTTTAATGTTGAATTGTTACGCCTTGTGATGTTAACGAGGTTATATGGCAAAACCCCATAGACAGACCCAGACAAATTAAAAAAAAACATTTTTAGTTGCAATTTGTTCTGTATGGGATCATAACAAATGAGCAACTCCTACCCCCCTTGTCACGATTTCAAACACTTCTAAGCCAGCACTTCATCTTTCATTCGTACTCAACACCTCATCCTTTCAGCAATGGAAAAGAGCTAAAATCACGACCCTATAAGACCTTACATCTAAAACGGGAACACCTATCCCAGGGATCCAATACTTCCAGATTACACATCTATGTTCACAACTAAACGTACCTAATATTATCAAGCAGCCTCTGACCGAATTCAAATTTACTCAAATCTTCCCAAACTTCCAGGAAGCATCTGATTTCTCCCACTTATAATGTGCTCTCTTCTGCCTTAAATAGAGCTAAAAGCCTGTCTTATCAAACACAGTAGCAAAAAGCATGCAACACGATGCTAATAGATGATACTTGGCTCTCTATTTGGAGCTCACTGCCCTTTAAATCAAACATTGTTGCAGTAAGATTACAGACCCTTTAAGATATTGACACACTGGTACATGACTCCCCAAAAACTAGCTCATGCCATTCCCTCGGCGAGTCCATTTTGCTGGAAGCAATGCGGTAAGTAGGGAGATTATCTACAATGCTGGACGTATTGCCCCAAAGTCCAATGCTTTCGGAAAAAGTGCTAGATCAAATCCAAACTATCACTGGCTTAATTGTTCCATTAACACCATAGAGTTTGTTCCTGAATGGCTGGAGGCCAAACCACTGTGCACCATCCACCACGAAAGCTCTCTCTATCCTACTATCAGCTGCAAAAATGGCTATTGCCACCAATGTTCCCTCCAAACTGTGGAGTCTTGTGAGCAAAATTTCTGCTTTGTGAGCTACTGGCATTAAAGTTGTGAGCGAGCAATTTGGCTTCTGCATAAAGTAGTTTGCTCTGGAGCCGTCCTTCCTGAGCTAAGACAAAAATGTGTGAGCTGGAGGCTAAAAAACTGCGAGCTACCTCACACTAACTCAGCTTAGAGGGAACACTGAATTTGCCACCCACTAGAAAACTACTACTATCCTTAATCTTCCTTTATGGCCCAACAAACTATGGGAGTATTATATAATTGCAAAAATGATGGCTAATATATTGCAATTGGACTCCCATACACCTTCTGGCGACTTTCTCTCAATCTGATTCCCAGCCTTAGAACACAAGAGATTCCTCAAGTGGTCAATGACATGTGTCTCTGGTAAAACAGTTGTAATCCCCTAGGCAAACTTCTTTCCTTCTCTGTGATATCTGTTAATTATACCAAATACCATTGGTTATGCTAAATATATTCTATTGTTTTTGTCTTAATCTGCATGTCTTTGAAAATGTGTACTACTTGTGATACTGCTGTATTATGATTAAAACTAATAAAAACTTTTGTACACAAAAAATACTGACTTGTTAAATGTTTTTTATCAATGATATTACCCGCTCTGACCCTGGACACAGGGGCGAGTGGTATACAAATCCAATAAACGAAATCGAATCACATGTTAATTAATCTTCAGAATCTCCTGGAATTACGGCTCACGCTAGGGTTGCCAACCCCCCCGGCTTGCCAGGGGTCCCCCGTTTTTTGGGGGGGTTCTACCTGCTGCCAGCCAGATGGCCAGTGGGGGAAGCCCCACCCCCAACACCCACAGCCACAGCTACCCATCTCTCTCACTTTAAATGTGTGGAACCCGTGTTTCCTCCTAAGTCCGATCTCCGCAAGCTTGCAGGGAAATGCCAGCTTCCTGGTCTTAAAAGGGAAACGCGGCTGCTCTTAAAGGGGAAACGCTGGCTCCTGCATTTAAAAGGGAAATGCCGGCTCCTTTAAGTGCAGGGAACTGCCGTTTCTGGAGATCCTGTGCACGGGCGGGGGGGGGGGACGTCTTCAACGTGACGTCATCACGCTGGGGATGCCCCGCCCCCTCCAGGAACGTCCCCAAAGTCCCCCGCTGGGGGTGGAAGATGGACTTGGCAACCCTAGCTCACGCCCACAGTACAAAGATCAGTTCCCCTGAAGAAAATGGATGCTTTGGAGAGTGGTCTCTATGGCACTGTACCAATGGAAGTCCCCGTCCTTCCCAGGGTCCATCTCCAAATCTCCAGGAGTTTCCCAGTCTGGATCTGGCAATTGTAAACACCCCCCCCCCCCAATCCCCTGCTGGTGGCCAGGGGGGAACAGCCAACCCTGCCCACCCAACCCGTATCCCGGGGTGGGGGGGGAAGAACCAGGCAGAGGCAGACAGTCAGTTGCTATGGTTCCAAATAGGCCCAAGCCTACCATAAAGTACTTCTTCTCCTCGTGTCCCTGGCACATTGAAATGGCTTCTTGCGGTGGGATCATGTTCCACAGTCCATCGCTCCCCAGGATGATATATTTGTGCTTCTGAGGATCCAGAGTGTGCACGCTCGTGTCCGGCTCAGGAGACACCACGAACTCGCCACTGTAGAAGTCGTAGCTCCACAGGTCTCCTGGATTGAGAAAGGCGGGAGGAAAGGGGAAGGGAGACTAGGTTTATTCAAATGGGGAGGAAGGCACCACGGTCATCACACAAAACTGCAGAGTTTCACATGCTGCCCCCATTTGGCATCCGGCTGCTAAGCCTTACAAAGATTCTGTAAAATGGGTCAAGTTGCAGATGGGGGGAGGAGCCGTGAGAGGAAAAGAGCACAGCATGTCTAATCAGACCTGAGGTCAAGGTGAAGCTGAGATTTGAATCGGGGACTTTGTGGCTAGGGAGGCCAGCCTCCAAGTGGGACCCGGGCAGCCCCCAGAGCTACAGCTCATCTCCAGACCAATGCTCCCTCTAAGCTGTGGGGTCTTGTGAGCAAAAATTCTACTTTGTGAGTGACGGGCATTAGAGTTGTGAGCTAGCCATTTGGCTACTGAATAACCTAGTTTGCCCTGGAGCCCTCCTTCCTGAGGTAAGACAAAAATGGGCGAGCCGCAGGCTAAAAAAACCGTGAGCTAGCTCACACTAACTCGGCTTAGAGGGAGCACTGCTCCAGACTACAGAGCTCAGCTCCTCTGGAGAACATGGCTGCTTTGGAGAGCTGACTCTATGGTATTGTACCCCACTGAGGTCCCTGTCCTCCCCAGGCTCCATCCCCATACCTCCAGGAGCTTCCCAACCTGGAGCTGGCAACCCTGCACCCTCACCCCCTGCTCCACAGCACAGTTACTTGGCAGTTAAACTGTCCCAGAAGAGTTTCAGTGCAACCCCAGGATGGATTACCTCTTCCTCGTGGGTTCCAAACCCCACACCCTCTGATATAATCTCATCCCCTTTAGGTCCACTTACAAGACCAGCAGAATCAGTCCCGTTGGTCATTTACATTTGTTTCAAACCAAAAGGTCCACGCAAAGGACAATACATCCAGTACTGCCAAAGCTGGGGCTAGATGCTCCCAAGGCAGACAACACACTGCATTCAAATCAAGCAACATTTGGGTGTACACCACGGTAACAATTGTGTTTCAATCGTCTCCATGGCAAAGAAATGAAAAACAACTGGATGAGTTCATCGCAAGGGTTGTAAACTGCCCAGACAAAGACCCTCTGGAAGTGATGTTTTGGCCACAAAGCAACAGACAAATCTTGTCTACACTACTCATCAAGTCAGGGAAGGTATCGAGGGTATCTTACAAAAGCCTGGCGTTATGTAAGGGAACAATATAATATACAATCTCTGCTATTTTTCACTGGCCTGAAGTACAAAGATGTTTTTCTGCTGGAGTTTCAGAGTATGTTTTTCATCTCAGCACATGCTCTGAAAAACCCGAGCCTCATAAATGTTTTCCAGAATGGGCAAGACATTAAATCTCACAGAGGAAAATCACACTTAATAACTCCTCACTCTACAGAAAAGCAGAACGGAGCAGTGAGGCTGTGCCTGGACTGCACCACATCGGCTTACGGGTCCGGGGATGCATGTCTCTGAATGCTGACCCTAGAGGGAGAAAACCCTTTCCTGCACAGAGAGAAGGAAATCAGGAAGCAGGTACCGCTTGGCCATCTTCCCTCCAGAATTTTCTACCTCCGAATTGTTTAATCTTATTTCTTGGCTTCATTTATTTCTTTACTTCTTTTGCACCCCACATTCCTCCCGGCTGGGGACCAGTGTTCCCTCTAAGCTGAGTTAGTGTGAGCTAGCTGCCAGTTTTTTAGCCTTCGGCTCACACATTTTTGTCTCAGCTCAGGAAGGAGGGCTCGAGAGCAAACTGATCTATGCAGTAGCCAAATCGCTGGCTCACGACTTTAATGCCAGTAGCTCAAGCCATAGTTCTGGCACAGCTGTCCTTGAAAAAGAGCAGCTTCTATCAGAGCTCTCTCAGCCCCGCCCACCTCACAGCCGGTGTCTGTTGTGGGGAGGGGAAGGGAGAGGAGTTTGTAAGCCGCTCTGAGACACCTTTGGGTAGTGGAGGGCGGGGTATAAATCCAACCTCTTCTTCCCTCTCAGCTCCACCTACCTCCCAGGGTGTCTGTTGTGGGGAGGGGAAGGGAAAGAAGTTTGTAAGCCGCTTTGAGACACCTTTGGGTAGTGAAGGGTCATGGGATATAAATCCAATCTCTTCTTCCCTCTCAGCCCCACCTGCCTCACAGGGTGTCTGTTGTGGGGAGGGGAAGGGAGAGGAGATTGTCAGCCGCTCTGAGACACCTTTGGGTAGTGGAGGGCCATGGGGTATAAATCCAATCTCTTCTCTTCTTCTTCACAGAGCAGAATTGCTGCTCACAAGGCTCCGCAGCTTAGAGGGAGCTTTGCTGGGGACCCAAAGTGGCTTACATCGTTCACCTCTCTTTCATTTTATCCTCACAGCCACTCTGTGAGGTAAGCTAGGCTGAGAGAGTGTGACTGGCCCAGGGCTGGGTTCTCACGGCAGAGTGGGAACTTGAACCAGGGTCATAGAATCATAGAATGTTAGAGTTGGAAGGGACCTTGCAGGTCATCTAGTCCAACCCCCGGCACTCTGCAGGGTCTCCCAGGTCTTACTTCACACAATAGGATTCCAGTACATATCTGCAACCTGAAGTGGGTAGACATAAGAGGGCCTGGGGGGGGAAGGGAAAACCTGGTGAAAACCAGTCCCCGTCCCCCACAAGACTCTTTTTAAACAATTCTTCCAACCGAAAAAATGGAAAATTTGGGGAGGAACGAATGAAATATTTTCTCATCTAGAATGAGTCAAATGCTTCCAAAGATAAGGTTTTCCACATTTAAAATGTATACCACGACACAGTCTGAGGACCTCCTTAACTTTCCCAGTGGAATAATCTGGAAATTTCGGGGAACACTGGAATAAACGGTTCACACCCCCCCCCAAACGCTACCAAGACAGGGAAACAGGGTTCCCCTCCAGCATGTTTTATCATCAGGGTTGCCAATCTCCAGGTGGTGACTAGAGATCTGGAATTGCATCTGGTCTCCAGGTAAAAGAGATCAGTTCCCCCTGGAGAAAATGGCCACTTTGGAAGGTGGAATCTATGGCAATTATACCTCACTGACCTTCTCTCCCCTCCCCAACGTTCCCCCCCCCCCGCCCCCCCCCCCCCAACACTCCGCCATTCCC